ACCTCGAAATTGGCCAACTCTGGAAAGACGCTCCTGTCAAGGGACCTAGTAACATCTAGTAACTACTTCCATGGTGCAACAAGATTAGGTTGGACCTTGGAAGGAGCAGTGCACTTCTCTTCTTTTGGACAACAACCGAGGACTGTCATGGTTTGCCGGGGAAATGGAGGTCGTGTCAGCTTGCCAAAGTCGGGCCTCTCAAGGTCCCATCGAAGCTTGACATGTTGAGTCAGCAGATTAGATATGGCTCACTATGGGCCACAGCTCGAATTCTTCCAACCCAGCAACCAAGAGCAAGGTATCAAAGGTGGGGTTTAGAGGTCTGCTCATGTTCATTATCACACGTTGAACCGTAGAGTCCCGAAACCATCCGAAACCTAACACAAGGACTATTTTGTGACAAGTGACAAGACGCTCCTCGTGTTCGTGACAACCCCTGAGCTCTTAGGTTGCTTGTGACTGCTGTCAAGAATAACGTTTCTGCTGTGCAGACGCTTGGAGACATGGTGAGACACCAACACGGATGAATCACGGAACTTGGGGTGTGGGGTGGAACTGGGTGGAACCACATTTCTCCATTGCTTCTTGGGATTTGAAGAAGTCTTTGGTCGATGGAAAGGGTTGGCTGAATTCATGTCATTTGCGACAATACAGAGATTGTGCCGTTTAGATAATGGTCTTTGGGTGGTACGGCCCGTGCTAGGCAGAATCCTGTAGGAAAGGTATTAGGAAAGATGCGAAATTTGTCAGCATGGCTGGGCTTTTGCTCAAGTCAATGGAGATGACCATGAGAACTCTCTCCGCAACTTCTGGAGTTTAGTCCACGCTGAATTTGGGTGTTGGAGGCCACTCTGTCGTCGATGCCAAACATGTGGACATGAGGGTGTGAAATGCATTGAAATGCATTGAGGAATCTCAGGTGTCTACAGCCGATGCCTTCTGGTCGGGAGTTTCGGGAGTTCTGATCAACCTCCATATACGAAAACAGAGCACCTCTTACCTACAGTCAACTTTGGATTGGCGCCACCCTCAGAACTGCAAGTACTGGTACCTGTGTTTCAGAACCAGAATATACTCATTCTCACGTGAAGCACGATCAGTCCCCTCAAATCTGCGGTTGTCATGCTTCCTCGTGTCCGTCCGTATTCTGGAGCAAACTTTGAGGCAAGTAGTAACAAGAAGCTACCAACGGGGCTCCTGGCCTTACTACTACGTAGGAGCGATCGGACGCTACGAACGGGGCTCCTGGCATCGCTACGAACAGAGCGATCGGACTTGAGGTATGGCAGTGAGAGGTTACAAGACGACAAGGAGATCATTCTAATGGCCGTTTCCTCCGCCGGCGCCGAGACATGAGATGGAGTGGCAGGAGTCGGCAGTTAGACATCAGACAGATGCTGGTTTACTTGATTTGATGTGTTCTTTTGGATGCTCTGTGGGGAGCTCGATGGTTGAAGCTGCATCCTATATGATATATGGTATTTGAAAGGTTATTTTTGTGGCCAGTTTCCGGAAGGAATGTCATCTGAGTCCTGTATTGACTGAACCAAAAAGCGATCGACCGATTTCATGAAAGCATTGTTCGAAGCCTCCCGGTTGCATTGTTCTGGAATGGTTGAAGAGCAGTACAAGTGACAAGGGCATCCATCATCAATCATCCCAGTTGGGCTGAGAATTTGGAACCTCAATGCACAAACAAAGCCTGTCGGCAAACTCTCAAGATGTCTCAAAGCTTTCTATTCTAGTCAGGATAGGAAACCGCAAATGTCTCAACATGTCTCAAAGTGTTTCAGTTTCTGCAATTCTGCCGAAGCCTGAAGGCTGGAGCAGGCGTAAAGAAGGAAGGTGCAGGATGATGTAAATCTATCAACGACTCCTTTCTCCCGAATTCAGGACCCCTGCAACACGAATTTCCTTCGAGTCACAGGGGTTTGCACTGCAACTGCTTCATTCCAAGCTAAGCTAAGTCTGCATGGAGGGTTTTGTGAGAAGTCCGACATGTCTAGGCAATGTTTGTAGTTGTTCCCAGTTGAGCAGAGGTTCTTAAATAGATGTACATATAAGGGTTAACCTAGGGTTAACCTGTAAATGGTTGGATGTAGGCATTCTGCTTGGGGGCGTAGGCTGGCGTAGGCATGTTTTTCATATTTTTTGGCAGAAGCTGCATAGGCGACGCATTTCCCAGTCAAGAAGATTCATACAGGAAGACTTTAATAAGTATGACTTCTCAATATTTCAATTGCTACCTAGATAGGAGTAGGCAAGATATTAGCAAAACCAACATGCAGTAGGCGTAGGCACCGCGTAGGCGAAAAGTAGGGTAGGCGTAGGCGAAAACTAGTGCGGGAAGACTTTGCCCCAGACATGGCTAAGTGAAGGTTTGGAACTCTTCCTCGTCCATATGGCCTGCCTTTGTCGTTAGTAGGCCTTTCCCCATGGCTAAGAAGGAACCCAACGCCTTGCAAAACAATAGACGAAAACAACAAAACAACGAAAAGCTTCCAAAACTGTAGCCGCGTAGGCAAAACCATTCAGTGATTAACAAAAACTCCACGCGCGTAGGCCGCGTAGGCAACCTATCCTAACTTCGTAGGCCAAAACTGTGAGCGCGTAGGCAGAAAGTAGGCTTGGCGTAGGCACCAATAAAAAAGCCTTTACATCAGTAAAAAAACACAACTCAGTTGCAGACTTTCAACATCTCTTAACGATAAAAGCCTGAAGAGCTCCTATTGTCCGCCTGTGTCAAGATCATCCATGTTTCCTTTGTTGAAGCCAAATGTGGGCCAAGGCCAAAAGCGTCGTTTTCCTGCACATTTGCGAGGTTGCTGTTCTTCATAGTAGCTTCTTGCTCCATTCGTAGCGATGCCAAGAGCCCCTAATAGCTTCTTGTTCCTAGTAGTAAGGCCAGGAGCCCCTGGTAGCGTCCTTGCTCCTTGTTTTTTCTTTTGTATGAGTTTCCCTTTCACTTGCTTTCCTGCTTTGCCATGCCCTTTTTCTATAAATGCTTCCTTGCTGTGTTTGTATTTTTCTTCCTGGTATTGCTTTGCCAGCTCTATGGTTACCTTTTTTTTGCATATGTTTGTCAATTGTATTTTGCTACCCCTATCCCGAGCCTACATTTTTTCCTAATTCATGACATCGTGTTTTTCTTTGAACTTGCATTAATTGGTCGATAGCATCAATGCATTTGGCAGTCTTAAGGCTTAAGGTCTTTTGGTGTTGTCAAGCTATGTTCCGAAAACTTCTAAAAAACGTGAATTCCCAGTGTCCATTCGCCAATCCAACAGACAACTCACCGTAGAAAATCACAAGTCCTTCAGCCGACTGCCGTAGTTCGAGTCTCAAAGTGTTTGAAACTGACCAGATTCCCATTGAAATGCTTAACCACTCCATGTTTGCATCCTAAACCGCTTTGGGCGCCCGTGACCGAGCTCAAGCCCAGCTCAACCGCGGCCCCAAAAGCATCCAGGTTGGCTCATCCCGTTCGTCTCCGACCGGCTGCAGCGTGACCCGGAGATTTGTTTCGCGGCGGTGAGGGCCCAGCCGGAGGCCCGGCAAGTCGGCATCACGGTGTGCACCACGTTGTGGGGCGAAGCCGGTCGATTGGGCGCTGACCACTCTTGGGATCACGTCATCCCTTGGGATCCAAGATGATCCAGTTGTACCTTCTCAGAAGGTACGACTGGGCCCTCCAAACCTACAGTGTCTTCACCTGAGAAGGTACTTGGATCCCTAGGGCATATCACATATTTGTAAATCAATATCATCCCATCCACCGTGACCGTGTTTCTTTTTTCTGAAGCGCAGCATTGTGTCCGACTTGCTCAACAGAAACCTTCTTTGGGCTCATGTGTGCCAAGGCCACCCAATTGCCATCCGATCCATGCAATGCATGCTAAGATTGTCCATATTGCTATTAGGTTGGAGGCCATCGCTATTAGGTTTTATTTGTTTCTTTCTTCCCCCAGCACTTGAATCTAATTGCCAATATGTTTGTATCACACGCAGTGCTTGGGAGCCTTTAAGGGGACGGTCTTAAGTCAAACCTATGGGGACCACCCGGTGAGGCCATCAGCTATGTGGCACCAGAATTGATTACCAGAGAGCTGCTGATGATTGCAGGAACAGGTGCAGCAGGGCTTGGCGTATGGGGCTAAGAGACGAGCTAAAGGAGGTCGATTCACAGCAGGAGTAAAGGAGGCTGTTTGTGAAGAGCATTCTCGAGAGCTAGACTATTTTGGCCTGCAATGTTTTGCAAAACTATACCAACTATACCATTTGAGATTGCCTGGTCACACTCCTGATGATATGTGGCATATTTGGGCATACATGGTCTCCGGTGAATGATTAGAGGAGTTGATGTGACCTTGGGAGAAAGCATGGAGTCCTTGTGATATGGTTCAAGGCAGCAGAGGCCACGACATGCCAAGAACGAATCTCTCATCATCATCTCTCTCTATCTCTCCGTCTCTCGTATCGTCGCGTATGACCAGGAGGGAGACTTGCTCTTCTATGCGAATGAAGAGTTGAGGAACGACAAAGAGCTCGTGATGAAGGACAAAAGCTCTGGTTTGCGATTTCAACTCAATGGAAGGGACGTCACACATCCGAGAGATAAACAACTTCGATTCAACCCAAGTTGCTTTTTGTGATCAGTCGAGGTTTCTATTTCCCTCCACAATTGACCTGAAAGTAGTTTGGTCGTTTCAAACTTCTAAGACCTGCTTCTCACGCAATTTGGCAAGCCCGTTTTTGCCCTCAGAGCTTCTGGTCGAAACCACTGAAACCTCAGCCGACCGGGTGTCTGGACCTCTTTGGTGCAGGCCGTGACCTCCAGCGCGGATGCCCTGGATCAGGCCTCTCCAGCCTTGCAGAAGGACGAGGACGTCCTCCGTGCGGCGCGCAAGGAAAACAGCACACGCGCCCGCACGCGCCCGCACGCGCCCGCACGTTCTGCGTAGGGCCAGAGAGAAATCCCAGACCGGTCGACTGGTGCCAAGGCTTTGTGAGACCTGTGGGAACCTGCTGGAAGTGCTCCGCGTGCCTCCCAAGATCGCGCAAGGCCGCTCGGTGCGAATTGCAGTTTGAAGCACGCCGGAAGGACATGGAAGGACAAGCAACACATCAAGTATGAACAAAAACATACAAAGATATCTACGTAAATTGTATAGTTGCAATTGTTCGCTATAGGAACGCGAAGCCGCAATGACACTTTTGCCAGGCCCAATCTTCCAGTCAGCGAAGCAGACGTTGCCGATGCACTCCACGATGTCGGCGAAGGTGGTCAAAGCTGCCCATGCACATATTATTCATTATTATTGTGTATGCATTTCGGTTGGAGGCCATCGCTCTTAGTAACAAGAAGCTACTAGTAACATCGCTACTAGGAGCAAGGACGCTTGTAGTAGCTCCTGGTCTTACTGCTAGTAACAAGAAGCTATTAGGTTGGAGGCCATCGCTTCCGGAGGCCATTGCTAGCAGTTTCGGAATGTGGAAGACCTCCCAAACATCCGGCTTTCGAGGACCGGTCCATTTCGGATCCCCTCACCGTTCAGGGAAAGTCGGACCGTTCTTGGGATTTTGCTTTGTAGTAGCTGCTAGTAGCTTCTTGTTCGCAGTAGCGATGCCCTTTGTTCCGTTCGTAGCTTCTTGTTCCTAGTTGGGGATTTTGGTTTGTGCGTGTGTGCTTGTTGGACCGAGAGGTGAAAGAAAACACACTGCACTAGTGACTCTCCTCCCAATGGTCTGCCAGACACAAGAAGAGACCAATTCTTTGTCAATCCTCAAAGGTCACCCATTTTCGCTAGTTCTTCCAAAATGCGTTCAAAACCATTTCGCCACCGAACTGGTCCAACGGTTTCAGTTTTGGCTCAAGCCGCAACCAAACTCCCACGCTGCTGGTGCCGGGACCAAACTCCGCCAGGGTTGCTTAGTGCGGGTGGTTCTGCAGGAAGATGCCATGCCGGACGTAATGATCCCAGGATTTTGGAATAAATGGACTAAACATATATCCGTTATACAAAATGACAGAACGTAGATCTTCTTTGGGTTGAATGATGCAAGTGTTGGTCAGCTTCAATTGTCCGGAAACACAAAGGCGGAGGGCTGTTTGCTCTGACAAACTGACATATCGCCACGAGTGATCCATTTATCTTATCCAGATCGCCCTTTAAGCTTTGAATTGAAATAGACACCCTGTGAGACCCTGTGTGGTCCAGAAGTAGACCTTGTTGGCATTGTTTGCATCAGTTTGTGCATGTTCGACGTTCGACTCCATGGCCAAGGATCGCTATGCCTGCTGGTGTCAAGAACTCTTTTGCCGTTCTGGCCATGGGTGCCTTGACTGAGCGCAATCAACAATCAAGTTTGCCCACAATAAGTTTGGATAAGTTTGGACTACTTTGGATTGTGAAAAAGGGTCAGAGAAGCTTGTGGAACCTAGTAAGGTAAGGGCAATATTTTTGCCTTGCCCAATTCTATGGAACAGCAGGTTTGTAGTATCCCTGGCTTGATCAGCGTAAGGCGTAAGAAAGAAAGCATCGTCCAAATACCCACTCAGTGGGGTACAATGACGACATTCACAGGGATCAAAGATCTAGGAACAAGTGCATCGCTAATAGTAACAAGTGCAATACTACTAGTTACAAGAAGCTACTAGTAGCAATGCACTTGTTACTATGGAAGGAACCAACACGTGAAGGAACCAACCATCCGTGATGCTTTTGGCCCTGGTTTTGCCGAAGACCAACACCTGCAGAAATGCGTGATGAGTTGATGTTGAAAGATAGAACAGCTATGGAAGCCAAGCTTGTATTCTTTATTTAAGCTCTATATGCCCCAAAGACAGGTATTCCATGCCTGTTCTCTGGTGCATGTTCTCCCCAGTCGACTCCGGACGACCGGGACGAGAACCGAGGCGATTCTGACGATGAGCAGGAGCAGACCGAGGACCTGGCAGAGTCTGGTGTGGATCGATGTGGAAACGGATCACCCAGAGGGCCCAGACGAGTCTGGTTTTGGTTGTCTTCGAGGGTGAGAAGGGGAGCACGTCTGTAAGATCTGTAAGTTCGTGCCACTTAAGGAGAGAAAGGATGTGAAAGGCAAGATTCATCAGTCAAGAGAAGACTACTGTAATTATTACGTATGTAATTAGATGTGCTCATTTCGGGTGACACCTGCCCAATATCTTGGACGGGTTTACCGTACTCTCGGTACTTCTACTAGATCATTTTTGTCGTTGTCTCTCCAACCAAAGCTTGCGTTGCTGGCCTTGCTCAGCAAAGATTGGATTGTGTGGGCCATGTGTGCTTTTTGCGCTTCCCGTGTTTGGTGGGAGACCAGCCCAGCGCGTCCCAGTCTCACAAAAGTCTAGCATGATGTACACGGATAAATGTACATCCTTCTACTTCTACCTATCATTTGTGGGTCTTTTGGACGCTCTGCAGATTGTTGGGTTTTGCTGCAAGTCCCCTTGCAGTCTGATGTTCGGTCGCAGGAGCAGGTGCCAGTGGAAGAGGAGTATCCACAGGCCGGGAGGAAGCCAAGCAGTGGAGGTGCTGGGATCGTGGCGATCAGTGGACCCGGTGGACATGGGCCGCATGGCCGCCGCATGGCCAATTCTTTTGAACAGCCGGCCCTTACTTCATGAAGTTAGGGAAGGGTTCGCTACTAGGCTACTAGGAATAGGAAGCTAGCTCGCTAGGACGAATAACTCATGCACTAATGATGTGGTTGCTAGATTTTTACGGGAAGCTTGACCTGGTTCGGTGCCATCTATCCAATATCCATTTGCTCAAAATAACTCTTTGTGCTCGTGGGCTCCAAGTTTGTTCATTTCAGATTCAGCTAGCAAGCCATTTGTATCAGGAACGCACCATCTACCAGAAGTTCTGTATCCAGAAAGTTTGGAAACTTGTCAAAGATATGGCAGCAAGGTGGGACACCTCAAAAAAACAACTCAAGACATGTTTTGGATGCCTGTGCAGTGGCCACTACCGAGAGGTGGTTGAGGAGCCCGTTGTGGAGACGAAGGCAGTGGCGTGGCGTGGTGTGGCTTGCCGGCGCCATCGCACCAACAACTCCACAGGGAATCACCTCAAGAAGACTTGATGGTTAGATCTTACTAGTCACTACTAGCGATGGCCACCAACCTACTAGCGATGGCTTCACCGATTCAAGCTGGAAACAAACAGTAAGACCCATTTTGCAATTGGCAGTTCACGGGGACAAACAGGAAAGCGATTGATCCCATAGATCAAAGTGTTGCAAATCCTTAAACGAAGGTAAATGATCCTCAAGAAGATATGCAAGGGATTGAACAGTTTTGTTTCTATGCCATGCAGCTGGAGGGCTGAGAGCATGGCTGCACAGCTTCAACCACACAGCTCCCCGGTCTGAGCTTCCTATGAGACCCTCCCTTCCGACTTCTGTTGGCTGATAGGGTAAGAAGGGGAAGAAGAAAGAGCGCGCCGTCCCCGTGGCTGCTGAGCCACAGGCTGGTGCTGGGAAGTGGAAGTTGTTGACCAGTTGGCCGATGTTGGCTGCTGTTTTCTGCAGTCCAAGCTGTTGCAGTTGCAGTACGCTTGCAGTCTTCGAGGCGGAGGACCAAACTGAGTTCGCCTTTGCCGGCCTCAAACAAGTGAGGGAAACGCCTAAACATATTGGTCTGTGAGGCAGCGCCAGTGGCAGCCGTCACCGAAGTCAGAGAAGCACCCAAGAAGAAGGCGAGGTGTTCTTGGTCAACTGAGCTGCGAAACAAGAGATTCTGGTAACTCTTGGTAGCCCTTCTGACACATTCCAGTGTTGTTTGTCGCCCTGGATTTGGGTACCGCTGCAGATGACCAGCGAGTTCAGAAATCTCTTTTGGGACTGAGCGGGAGGGGCCCTTCCCTCTAAGGCCCAACTAAGCTTGGTCCCCAAATAGACAGTTGTCCTGTGCCCCCCAAAGCCCTAACTGCTAACTACACAAGAACACAAGAATTGAGGTCCTTTTGGTCCTTTTGATCTAAAGCCGCCTCCAGTCACCAGCTAGCCGTTCCAGTCCCATCGACAGGAGGTGAAGGAGCCGAAGGCACGGTTTTTGGGGAAGGAGCGCACGGACGAAAGAAGAGAAGAAAGGGTGACACCCTTGGGGGTTTTCAGCAAGTGCCTTACTAGTAGTAACAATGTTTGCTAATGGGAGCAAAGGGCATCGCTACTAGGTTCGGATCCTTCAGGACCTTTCAGGTTTGGGGCCGTTTGGGTTCATCCACCAATTGGCGAAACAAGAACGTACAAGAACGTACAAGGACCACCCGAACCGGGCCAAATCTTCGCCAAGGCCAAGAAGCCAGCTGCATTGGGCAAGAACAAATTCGCAGCATTCGCTTTGCTGGGAGAGGATGAGGACTCCATCGAGGGATGTGGACAGATGCGAGAGGTGACAGTTCAAGCCCGAGGTGTTGCTTGGCCGGAGTGGGTGTTGATTTTTGGAAATGTTTTGGTTGGTGTGTTGAATCCCCTTCAGTCAACCTTGTGGATCTCCACTAACTCAAACAAGTGAAACACACCGCCCTCCCCAGATCTGCCCAGAGTGGACTTTCGAGCCTCAACCATCAGGACTCTGACGAAGAGTGAGCTTTTTGTGACAGCTGGCGAGTTCCCAAGAGTGATAGCTGTGGGCAGCAAAGGATCTGCAGATGCCGCTGATGCCGCCTGATCGAACTATTGATGCAACCGTAACTAACTATATTCAAGATGAAGGACTTATAAAGGGAATCCATCAGTTTGGGAGCAACCAAATTGATCAATTGGCCATGTGTTCCACGACTCTTTGTTCTTCAACAATTGTTATAAGTAAGGAAACATACTGGCTCCTGCAAACAAGGAAGAGGTTGATCACATGAATGCTTAAGAGCAAGGCCTATAGGCATTAGACTATACAGAGAGTCGATGACCGTTGAAAACCATCACAGTGGTCGATGCATGTTTGGGGTGAAGTGGATTGATATCTACAGTTAAAACACATGGAAGGCAACGGGACAAAGACACACCATATAAAAGTGTTAAGCACATCCTTGCGGTTCAGCCGAGCATCAAAACGGTATCAGAGCGATCCAGATTTCGGGAGTGCGTCTCCGTATGAAGCTTCGCGGACCGGCCATGTGGTGATTCTTTCTATACGGAGGATGTGCTTTGCTGTCGTTGTATATGTTTAGATATTTAGTATATGCTTTTTGGCAACTTTTGATTTTTTATGCTTCTTGCAGCCGTTGGACGAGCCAGTAGCCTAGTTGATAATTGTAGGTAAATAACAAGTGTAGGTCATTAGTCGGTAGTTGCGGTGGTTCTGCTGCGAGTGAAAGGCAGATCAGTAATCCATACGCCGCTAGTTGTTCAGCCACAAAAGATCATGAATCTTCGAGGCTTCAGGAATCTCAGGTTGATACAGGCTGATGATTTTGACTTATGACCTTCCAATGACAATCATACATATATACATATATACATGTAAGTCGGAACAATAAAACAATCATATAGTCTTCACCTCATGCTGAGTGCTGTTTGCCTGGCTTCGATCCTATACCCCTCAAAAACCCATCTCTTTTCACCCAAATAGATCCGATCGAACACTTAACCTCCGGTCTCGGATCGGAACCCCCTTTTTTTCTTTGCCGGGATCGGAACCGGAGCGGACCAGCGCCCACTCCGCCCCCGCTCGTCTCGCAGGTGGCGGTCTAGGATTGATAACGGGCCCCCGATGGGTCCAGGGAGCCGCCGGCCGTAACGGAAGCCAATTCCTTGTGGACGAGCCTTTCTAGGATCTAAACACAAAGTCTACTCAAACAGGGTTGGTGGAGTTTTACAGGAGTTTATCACATGAAGATGCAGGACTCAGAGCAATCTTGGCTGTGTTTATTGCGGGTAACTATGGAACGGTTGGTCATTTACTTTGCATAGCGAAGTCATTCAGTTGTCTTAAACATAATTCATAAGTGTAGTGAACTATACTATGTAGAACTCCCCTTACGTGTTTGTTTGATTAAACTTGATGTCGTAGATTGCGACAGAAATAGACATTTTCAATCCACTCAGAAATGTTGGTTGGATCAAACAGTTGATGTGAGGCAAACACTCTGGCTCAACATTGCAGATTGGTTTGTGGTCCCTGGACCTACTGGGGTTGATTGTACAGGAACAGTGAGGTGCGGCTTTGCCATCCGCGGTGGCAAATTCCTTAGTCAAACAGTTTGAGGGTAAGTTATTGATGATAGGGTTTGTTTGGTTCGGATTTGTACATCCAACGAGCAGTGTTGCCAGTCTATGAGGCCGGGGATTATTGATTGTGTCCTTTCAACGTAGGCAGCTCAGCTACCTCTGAGTTTTCTCTCATTTTCTGTGCCTTCTGATGGTATCCATCACTGAGTAATTATTGTATTGGATTGTAAACATTTCGGAAGCCCTTTAGAGTCAATCCAACATTGAATCAAGATGCCAAGTATTGATAGCTTCCAAACATGTCCCGACGTTTACGGTGGATAATTCTTCCCACCACCCGCTCGGTCTCTCATGTGTGTAGGCAACATGTGCGAGACAACTTTCTCAAGATGGAACTTGAACAAGTTCGCAATTTCTTCATCTCACTTAGTAGAGGTAGCCAAGTGGCATGTTCATAACATTTTACAACTATTGGTCATAAATCCAGCAACCTTTCCACACGGTCCCAATTTCGATGGCGCAAAGCCGAAGAGCCGCTGAACAGCCGCACCGGCACAGCGATTCGTCTCTGAGTCAGAATCTTTTAGAGCGCTCTCCATGCGAAAGGGCCGTGCCAAGCGTTGTTCGGCCTGAGGGCAAAGCTGAAGACGAAGGAAGCGAGATTGCTTTGTAGCTGAATTTTTGGGAAGCTGAAGAACGTCTAATATAGTTTAAATTGCTATTAGGTTGGAGGCCATCTCTATTAGGTTCCTTCTCTATTCGGTTCCTTTTGCTAGTAGGTTGGAAGCTGAAATGCGAATCGAGAGGAACCGTTTCATATGTCTGGGAGGATGATTTTGCAACAAGAAAGTGGCAGCGACAAGTGGATGTGAAAGTAGTGCTGCAGTTCTCTCCCTTGGTGTGTGCTTTACAAAGTGTCGTGTGGGCCGTGTGGGTGTTCCTGAAAGAACGTTTGCTATTTGGGGCTGACAAGGTGTTCGGCACGGTCTTCGCACCCCACTGGGGGGACGACGCCTCGAACCTAGAGACTTGACCGGACATTTCTCGCAAAAAGAAGAAGTGGCACACTCTGTTCTGAGCGTTGCTGGGTCCACGCACTGGGAACCGATAGCCAGGTTTTGCATTATTGGACAAAAGAGGAAGAAGACACGTCCTGCACTCTACTCAGCAATTGTGGAGTCATGCCACGCGCACTTGGGCTTTTGGTCCACTCCAGGCTGGTCAGATGTTCACTTGGCAGATGTTTGTGGCTTTGGCCACCTGTGGCACCTAACCTCTTCCTTTGCCCGTTTGCATGACCAAATGGAATTTGAAAAACACATCATACACCGCCCTCCCCCCCCAGTTGTTAATAGGCTACCAAGTCCGGTGGACTTTGTCTCTTTGGTCCATCAACGTGGATCCGCGGTAGGTCTTCAGTACTCCAGTGCCACCACCGAGCTTCACAGTGCGAGGTTGGAGCGCCGAAAGCGATTCGACTGGGTTTTGTCGAGGGAAGGGCAGTCGTTTGCGGATGTTTCGGTTTGAGAATGGTTAGAAATAGAATTGGATGAGATGGGCGCAGGAATGTGACCGAAAGTTGAATGAGTTGCAGCCGTTAGGGTCTTTGGGCTGAGTGGTTTACGTAGTAGTCGGAGACTTGTTGAATCTGAGAATATATCCACGATTGCTGCGAGAAATCATACTTAAAGGCAGCAGCTCAGTTGTTGGTGAACAAACATTGTTTTGCCAAATGGATAGGATATTTGTGATGAGCTTTAACAACATCAGGCTCAGGATGTGTGCAATACAGATGGATTTTCAGAAGCACCACGTGCAGATTGCATGTATTTTTGTAGCAGGCAGCACTGCACCACTGCACTGGCACTGCATCACTGCATCGCCGTTCTCCCCGGAATGACGCATGACGCGCAGGTGGACTCAGCACCGAAGGCATCAAAGGCTCCGTGCCGCGTGCAGAGGCGATGCGAGTGTCGTGGATCATCCGGCGTGGGCAGTGGCGGTCGTGGCGAAAGCCCAGCCGTGTCAGGTGGTGACCCAGCCGTGTCAGGCCGGCCCTCCGGTCCTACCCGACGAGCCAATGGACTTGGCGAAAGCCCATGCCATGGCTCTTCGGAGCTTAGAACGTCCGGAGCCCATGCGAGCGCAGAGAAGGTGAGGGGAAATACTATCATGGACTGTAGTAGACAGACTGTCAGGTGAACATGACCCATAATCACCCATAATCCATGTGGGGTAAACATAACGTGTTTCATGATTCTAGCCGACGAGAGCGCTTACCCCCATGTACACACGCCCAAGTTTGAGCGGTTTTGAAGAGATGCGGCCAGTAAGATCAGGATAGCCAACTAATTAGCTAATAATGCAAAGGAGGGGTCCAAAACAGTATTTTGTTGGGTCTATTAGCAAGAGATGAGAACATGAGTGTTCAGTACACCCCTGCCCCCCCGCCAAACAAAATAGTATTTCACATACAATGTTGGGGTAATATTTTCTTAATCCAAACATTATTTCATATTCTCAAGATGCTTCCTTGTTCTGATATGTCTGCAACATCCCGTTTTTCTCCCAGCGCATTTACACACATCACACTCTACTTCAATTTTGGTGTATTCTTTGCTGTATGCCTTAATCTCTTCGGGATTTTCAGCAGAGTTTCTCTGCCACAACTCTTTTACTTTGTCAGGATTTTTTGCCCTATACCTTCTTCCCTTTTCCATACATTTGTTGCAACACAGAATTTTGTCAGTAAATTCTTCAATATCTTTTAAACTTTACAATCGCCACAGCTACGCATTTGAGTGTTGAGTACATCCATCTGTACTACAGTAAGCTGTTCACCCCATTTAAATCTCTTCACCTCATCTATTCATCAAAAACATCTAAACACTTTCACCTAGATTTTGTTAAAGTAATATAGGTGAAATGGTTTCTTATTTATAGCCTAACCGTTTTTACTGACTGCGATGACGCCCCGTCATTAAAACGAAGACGCCGTGTCTTCGCATCATCACAAAACAGTTTAGAGAAAAAAATAATCATCGCTTGTCAAGCTCTAACAAACCCCAGTTGAAACATCTCACAAAATACCCAAAAACATTTGATAGAACTTTCCACTGAGCTTTATAAAAGGATTTAGGTGAAGTCCTTTTTTTATTACAGTGCTTACTAACTGCGATGATGCCCCGTCATTGAAACGAAGACGCCCCGTCATCAACAGAAACAATGACGCCCCGTCATTCAAACGAAGACGTTGAGTCATTACAATGAAGACACACTCTGATTGACGTATGTTTCTCAAAAACTCACAGAGAGGCATCACAAATACAGCAGAAATCTCAACAATTTCAGCACCACCTCACCCATTCTCAAACTAGTTCACCTAGATGTTATTAATTGTACGATCGTACTTTCAAAAGTTTATGACGAAGGAAAGGATGGTCTCAAGTGACGGAGGGCAACGCAAACACCCTGGCCCTAAATTTATTGTCCAATAAATTCGGGAACCTCAGCAGGATAAGGGAAAAAACGAAAAACCTGCTAAATTTATCGCCCGATAAAATTGAATTTATCCACCCATAAATTCGCCTTTTTGCCACCTGCCCACCCTCTTGACTTGCATTCGGCTGAATTTGCACAGCCCCCCCCTACACTTTTACCATCAGAACAGAATGGCATAACATTTCACAACAAAAAAGACCATAGCAAGCTCACAACAGCACACATAAAATCTCATACAACAAAACACAAAGCAGTCAAGCATCAGCCTTTCCTACCCCAAAATCTCGGGTAGCCTACCTTAAAATTCTAGGTAGCCTACATTGTAGCTTAGGGTAGGAGGTAGCCAAAAACTAATCTTTGTATGCTGGAAGTGGCAGGTGCAGGGTTTCATAAGTGCAGATTTTCGGACTGTGTGGCAGGTGATGAAGTGAAGATTTCGTACAAAAAAGGTCATGCTTCATCAGACCAAAGGTAGTATTTGTCATCCTTGTCTTTTGCAATCTTGTAGAACTCCAGAGTTTTTTCTTTAGGCTGTTTTATCTTGCCTTTATGGAGCATGTCCAAGTACTGCTTTTGTTTCAATTATAAACGACAAACAGTTTAGATATAACAAAACAACCCCATATCACATGTTTTAACAAAGAAATTGTTAATAGTAAAGAAAACAAACAAGTACAGAATTTCTGCCTTGAAAAAGGCAACGGATGTTATAAATAGAGAAAGGTTAGATAATAATAATCAAACACATAGTAAAAGCAAAATATGGGTTAGACACATTTAATTAGCATTTAGAAAGTATGCTAATTCAACAATTTTGGAAAATCATCATTTAAAAAAAGGAAATTAGAAACAACTATACACCAAAAACCGAAACTATTAGATCTTTTAAGAAATAATAGAAGTAAACAATCTAACATAAAAATGGAAGGATCATGTTTGAAACACCTACATATTATGATAACGGAAATAAATTAGGAAATTAGGACTTTGTATATTCCCTACCATTAACCCGCTGTAAAATTAGTAATAAGGATGAACTAACACAAGCATTAGAAGATAGCGCTATTCAAATCCGATTACAAATACAAAATTTTGAAAATTCAACATCTAATTTAAGGTTTAAAACGATTTTACAATAACTATTCACCATGATAGATATGGTCCAACAGGAGTAAGGAGATGCATAGAATTACCAGAAATGATTAAACAATAAAAGGTATGTATCACTATTAAAACTAAAAACAAAAAATCCTTCAAATATCGCATTTATGTTTAAATCTATAACAAACTAACATATCACTTAGAGGAATTGTTCCACTATAATGAACTAAAATATTATATTTTAAACTGGGATGGTATACATAAAATAATACACCAAAATTGAAGTAGAGTGTGATGTGTGTAAATGCGCTGGGAGAAAAACGGGATGTTGCAGACATATCAGAACAAGGAAACATCTTGAGAATATGAAATAATGTTTGGATAAAGAAAAATATTACCCCAACATTGTATGTGAAATACTATTTTGTTTGGCGGGGGGCAGGGGTGTACTGAACACTCATGTTCTCATCTCTCGCTCTATTTAGTGTGTCTTCTCAGGGGGTATTGCTACAAAGTTGACTTTGTTCCACAACCTCTTTGAAGAAATCGATGAATGGACACCCTTCCGCCCCAAAAGAGACGCGACACTTGGTGACACTTGTGATATCGGTTCTGTGTCGCTCTTCCTCCTAGAAAGATCACTACTAGTAGCAAGAAGCTATTAGGTTGGAGGCCATCGCTACTAAGGGTGGAGGCCATTATTAGTAGCAAGAAGCTACTAGTAGCTTCCTTGCTACTAGTAGTAATGCCCTTGTTACTAGTAGCGATGCCGGCGATGCCTTTGTTTTGAACAAAAAGGGACTCGACATTTGTCCACATCGACGTCCCGACCGGAGGCCTGGCTGCTCGGCGGGAGATGAATGCAAAGGAGGCATTGAGACCGTCGAATTCGATCAACTCTTGGAACATCTTGGAACCAAAAGTCCAGACTGTGATTGAGTAGAACACTCAGCATTCAATCATTCAGCGAATTCAGCGTTCATAAGAGCATTTGCATCCACTTTCTGCTGCGGGGGGGCTGACGCTCCCGTTGCACAGGGCGAAGCTGGGGACCAGACTTGTGAGTCTGGTCATTCTCCCACTCGGGTCGAGGCGCTCGGTCGACTGGGTCGACCGGGTCGTTCCCGGATGCCGAAGAAATGGCGAGGATCGTGTTGGGTCCAGACTACGGTAGGATGGCCCAAGGTGTTGCAAGTTGCTCAGACACTGACAGGAAAGGTGACTCGGAATCTAGATGTCCGACCAAGACCAGAACAGACCCTTCCGTTGAGTGCGTCGGATTCCCTCGTGATTGTGGGGGACTGAAAACCAACTGCGCTCAGGTTTCACAGTGTTCTCCTTGGGGGTTGGTGGACTCTTGGACTAGGAGTGCTGAGGAATGAAGCAATGAAGCTGCTAAGCTGCAGAATGGTCTGTTGGGGGAATGAGGAATAGCTGCAAAAGGCCAACAAAAGGTAATTTCTGCAACATCCCAACGGTCTTGTCAGCAGGGTGGTTTGTTCGTATCAATATCCACATCCCGGACCACAAGCGAAGACAAGGTATCAGCAGACAGGCATCGATTCATATCAGGTTTAACCGCCACACCACATGAATTTTATCATGTTTCTTGAAAAACACCTGTAAAGCCATGAAATTGATGTTGGAATACTCGTCCAATTTCAATGTTTTACTTGGGAGGCTGTGGTGGAGGAAGCTGCAGCACCATCCATCAGGCAGGCATTGAATGAAAGATGCTCCAGGGAGTTGTGGCAATAAAGCATTGCAGAAGGTTTGGATAATCTGGACATGTCTTGACTTTATGGGTTTGGGCCGCCTTTACTTTGCTCTACAACAACTTCCTCAAAAACACCAGCTATCATGCAGATGTCCGTTTTAGTAAACGGATGAGACTCAATTTTATTTGGGCACCACAAAATTGGAAGTGTACGAAGTAAGGATGCTGCTCAAGATCACCAGTTGAAGCGGAAGTGACCTGACGAGTTCATGTGAGCAACAATTGACAAAGCCATGTGGTTGTCACTTGTTGCGGAATCAACAATGACTGCCTTCGGAAGACCTCAAACATGTCCTTTCATAGTGAGGTGGTACAAGACGTAAAGACAATGACCTGCCAAACACATAAGAATCTATCAGAATATATCATATAATGATTGGGATATTGATCGGTTGCTACGTGGGTAATGGCGAACATGCAAATATGTCAGAATCCATGACCACAGATAATGTTGAAAACATGTGATATGCAATGGCAGTGCTAACCAAGACCTATTACAAATTCTAGAAGGCCGAGTGCAGAGTGAATGGTGACACCGCTGGAGCGATCCCCAGGTCGAGCGATCAGCTCGATGCGTTTCCTGGAGCTCAACGAGCTGCCGGAGCCGAAGGCGAAGCCGAAGGCGGCGGAGCCGAAGGGGGCGGAGTTTTTTTGAATTTGAGGATTCCAATTTTTGTGGACAACAACTCCATTGGAAAGCTGTAGACTTGAAGCTGCTGGAAAGCCTCGCAAGTCTTGACACATTTGGTGTTGGCCTGGGGGGTTTGATTGCAGGGCGTATGAAGAGTCAGTGTCAAAGATGTCAATGAAGGGAGCTGGAAGACCATAGGGAGGCTCCTACAGGTCAAGATGGCACTGTGTGTGAAGCGTTTGTTTTCTAAAATCTTGCTTCCGGCTGGTTGACTAGTGCAATTCGACCAGATTTATGTGATTTGATGAGCCAAGAGTAATGAGTTCTTATTACTTGGGGATGCAACGGGTGTGTCTGAACAGGTCTTTGAACCGGTCCGATTCTTTGGCAATTTTTGTGCCTTTGTGTCAGGCTCTGTGGGCAGATGGGAAGGGCTTGAAGCGCAGGAGAAGCCGGGACAAGGTTTATTCAGTTTACTCAGCGTACATGACGTAGATCTCCGCGTACTGCGCAGAAAACTGTTAACCCTGAAAGCTGAGCACTGGGACAAGCGGAGCGCAGCAGATTCTTCGACCAAGATCAGAGGTGTTGTGAAAGAATGTGGAAATATGTGGAAGGAGGCCATCTCTACTAGGTTGGCGGCCATCGCTTCTATCGATAGTAAGTCGTTGTCCAATATGTCCACATACGCATGAGTTCTCTTCTTGTGCTTGGTGCGACTTGGTGTACTAGATCCTTTGCCAGATTACATAACGAAATATGACTCCCTTGCGCCAGTCCAGATCAACTCTGAGAAAATTTGGGGAATGGGGGACCACGTGCCACCAGAGGTAGACTGGCCTCGAGGATGCTGAGATGTTCAATTATATGTGGGCGAATGTGGGTTTGATCAGCACTTGAGACTCTTTAGCAGGATCAATTGTAAATGCATAAATTCATTTGGAGAGAGACAATGACATGAAGCAATGAGCCAACGTCCTGTTGAAAGGAGCGGATTTTGGTTCGTCAAGTCCTAGTTTGGGTGGGTCTAGCATGCCATCCCTGCATCTCGCACATTCAAAATCTTCCTTCAGAGGAGCTCAGTGGAGATGGCTTGCTGGGTGGTTTAGGCAGGTGTGTTGCCGGAAGGGCTCATGGGAACCATGTTTTGTGTTGTTACACTGTTCTTTTTTTGTTGGCGTAGTTTATAGTTTACTAAGTTTACTCTTTGCATGCTTTAGGCTGACTGCTCTGGATCAAGTGTGCATGATTGGTTGCATGTGTTTCTTGGTTGGACAGGGTTCCACAAAGTCATTGAGACAGAGAGTTACTGTGTTGGACTTGGGAATTGAGTATGGTAGCTTGGGATTGTCCTGCATGATCTGGTATGCGAAAACTACGCTATTGGTCCGCTTAGTTCTTTGTACCGGTCTACGTCAGTTCGAACGACCTGTCGTGGTTGTGACCGAATATTTGGACTGAGCTTGGACAGCATGAATAGAGCATTCTAGAGGTGAAACAAAGTGACACCCACAATATGTTATATATATATTATATGTTTAAAAAAAAATATATATATTGAAAGAGAGAGGAATCATATGACACATATGTTTGTTGCTAATTATACTGAAGTGTGATTAGGTTCCACCACTCTTGCACGGCCTTACCATCGAAGCTGCACAAGTGATACAGGAGACCTCGCGACAAAGACAACATATTTCGGACAATGTTTTTGCAGCTGAACGGTCATATCCTCCCAAACCAATTGTCATAATGTTATATATGTAAGCAAACGTGAACTATACCCAGGATTTTTCTGTTTCACATGTTTTTTGGGGGACGTCACACCTTCCGTGGCTTTCAGACATCTTGACAACTCCGGTGGCGCCACTTCAGACGCCCAGAGCCTCAGACGCCTGCGTCGAAGTGGAAACCTTCGACCGGCAAACACCGACCCGACGGTCAAGACGGTTGCTGATCACCACGCGACAAGCGAGACCGAATCAAGCGCCGAAAAAGTTGCAGAACATTCCCCCTGTTCCCAACCGTTTGAAGAAAGCTACTAGTAACAGGTGCATCGCTACTAGTAACAAGTGCCTTACTACTAGTAACAAGAAACTACTAGTAACAAGGGGCATCGCTACTAGTAACAAGGACGCTGCTAGGTTGGAGGCCATCGCACCGCGCAGCCGCTCAGCTCCGAGGTTTTCGCTGGGCCACAGCGGCCACAGCGGCCACGGCAGCGCTCGTGGCCCGCCCCGGGATCCTTTGCGCCACATCAGCGACGATGCGCGGGACTGGAGCTGTGTGCTGTGAGAGAAGGCGAACATACAAGGATTTCACCTATATTTTTACAATGAATTCACATGTTGCCATACCATCTGAGAGATTTCTTGCACAAGAGTTAGTCCCCATACTTGTTGACAGTGTGATTGGAGCTTGCTAAGCACAGCAGGAGTGGTATGGTGGCAGCAGTGGTAGTGCCACTCCAAAGCCAGATCTCTCGACCAAGCTCGAGAAAGAGGTGTCGGGGATATGGCAAAAGGAAGGGAATGGCGCTGCAATAGCGGACTGGGAAAGGAATGCTACATGAAACAGGTTCAGCATTGAAGTTGTTGAATGATCTCAAGCGATAACTGATACTGAATACTACTCTAATTAATTACATGTGAAGCATTACAAGATGATGACTCACCACCAGTGCAAGCCACCGAAGAATAACGGTTGGTTGAAGGTGTAAGCAATCGCGATTTGCATCGGCATGCTGGCGCTAGTTTGCATTTCGTGCCTTTCGACTGTCAGACAGTCAGAGGCAAATATTTTACCGTGGGATACACATGGCGACTTTTGGCAGGCCGACACGTCAAGCGCAGAGGACTGCCAGCTGGGTCGAGGCTTTTGGGACACTCAGCTCTCGAACTGGAGGGCAAAGACAAAGGCCGCAACAAGCATTCAATGGCAGGAGGCAACTAGCAACCAGAACGTATGTCGTTCTAAGGCCTATCGGTAGCTCTCCCCTCAGCGACAATGAAGTGGAAGTTCTGTGAGGTGGTTTCTGGTGACTTTGAATACCCAAGTACCAAGCAGAACCGAGTGGGTTATAGCTGCACTAATAAGGCTGCCAGGCTGTTTTCATCTCTTTTCCAACCTTGCCACAACATCCATGACCTTTGCTTGGGTTTTAACATTGAGTCAGGTTGGTTACGGAATGGAAGTATAGGAGTAGTTCATTCAATTCTTGCTGTAGTTCCAAGAGTAGTGTAGGATTACTGTAATCGGTCTCAAGAGATGCCCATATTGAAAGACTTAGTAAGTCGTTTGCGTGTTTTGTTCTGACATGTAGATTCCAAACACAAGACTCACAGAAGGAACAAACACTCATCTCTCAGCATTTGGCGAACGCTCAGCCTTTCGCTCGAGGAGGTTCCGTTTGTGGAACGTTCGCCGTCCAAGCTCGAGGACGAGGCGACCGGAAGGGACCCGGATCTGACCAGTTGACCGGGATCCGGACTCACGGTGCAGGCCTCTGCACCGGCTGTGCTGGCTGCACCAGCTGCACTGGCTACGCCTGGCCAAGCACTTGGTGAGGAAACATGATGAGGCATCGGCTTCCACATGGTTCTACCATGTTTGTCTTTCATGCATTGCACTGATCACGAGGTTCCACCCAGTTTGACCCCTATTTGTATCTCCAGCTGAGGTCAACCTCTGGCAGCGACAGTTGCGCAAGCTGTTTCAGCACGAGCATGTGAGGCCTTTCCTGGTGGAAGAGTGATGACGAAGCGCTCGAAACTTCAGATTTTGCTCCCATCACCAGTACTATTAGCCTCTCAATACCTGTTCAATGAAATGTCCAAAAATGTTCGGTGTCGATTGTCCTTTTGGTGAGCCACGGAACATGCTGCTGTAGCTACAAGTTCGTCCATCAAGAAGACTTTAGAAGGTGAATGATTCATCCATTTTGGGTTACTTCTCAGTTTTCCGAGTTGGCCCTTTCGCTTGCTGGGTCATGAAAGGAAAGGACATTGCCAACAGACGTCAGTTCAGCTCCGGGAACGCAGATCAACGGTGGTGATTAGGATTCGCTATTAGTCGGTTTTTCATCTCTTTTCTGCCTTTCTTCTTTCCTTAGCATGGTCAACACAGTCACCACGGCCGTGCGAGGGCAAGAGCCCCTCCTTCACACACTCGCCACACACGGGCTCTGAAATCAGGTGGGGAGACACATGTGCCAAGTGGGCGGGAGAGTGACAGCTGGAGAAGCTTCGAGAGACTATTCCCACACAGTGTTTTTGTATAACTTTCTCTTTGCTTTGTTATGTGTTCTTCTTTCAACCAGTGGGCTGATGAACATGAATCTTACCAGTGGGCTGATTGCGAAGTTTGCCACAGAGTTCAAAAGGGTGTTATCTAGGAATCTAGGACGCTCTGCAGAAAAATAGCAATAGTCAATAGTTGCATTTTGTTGAAAAGGCCAATCTGCAGCTGTCATGGCGATTTGCACTGTCTTTATCTTGTCTGGGAGAACTCTCTTCTGGGTGAATCCGATGTGACAGACTCCAGGTTCCTCCCCAGCAGAGCAGCGAAGAAAACATTCTACTCAGCAGTTATTTAGTGGTTGCTTCCTTTGATGAGCATTCCCCTCATAGTTCTCAACATGATTGTTGGTCCGTTTTGTTTCCTCGGTTTGGCGTGACAATGTGGTTTCTAAAGTTTAAGACTCAAATCACTAATAGACTCCACCAGGTTAAGCGATCTCGTTTGGAGAGTCCTTCCACGTCAGCCAGGCCTCGTGAAACTCAAGTGGATTTGACCGACTCCAAGCAGATGCAGGCAGCTCCACAAGAAGAGGCCAGGGCACAAAACAGGATCAAGAGCATACCAGAGACTTACGGCAATCCTCTAGACCTCTAGGTATTCTTTTTCAGGCAGAACCTTCGAGTCAGTTTGCTCCTTTTTTCATACCGATATCTCCAAGGCCAAGCTGCCCACGCTCGCTCTTTCCGTGGCCGAAACCTCTCCGGTGCCCGAAACGCCGTCGGAGGCTGAGGCCGTCGGGCATGACGGTAACCAGCGCATCGTTTCGATTACTTACGGGGCTAGCGCCCGCTGCCCCGCTCCGCTCACGCTCACATTCATCGGCCTAGAGCGGGGTCGGCGAACTAAGAATGTTGAACTGGTCAAACGGTCCTGATTCATCCAGTTTTCAAAGCCTGTGTTGACTTGCAGATAAGTTTATTTACTGTAGGTTTGGCGGTTGCATTCTTGATTAGATACGATTAGATACCCAAGCAAGCACCCTTGATGGCAGAAGTTCAGATTCAAAAGGCGTGGTTTTCACATGTTTGGATATTTGGGGAGGTTAAACGGTTCAGATATAAGCAATAGCAAGACACTGTTGTTGAGAGTGGTAGACACGCCAAAGGACCAACATGTACAACTGTTTTGCAAGTTAAATATGGATAGTTCTACATATTTCTGCATATAGAATTAATATATGTTTACATTTCTTTTTTTATGGGGGCCTTGAGGAACCTGAAACCTGTATCTCAAATTTTTTGATCAAGGTCCAGGAATGCCACATTCCAAGCCATTATGAAGGCCATGAAAGAAATCCATGACATCGAAAAGACAAGTTGTGAACTCATCATGAAAACAATAATTTGTGATCAAGCCATGCAAACGTCCACCATTTCTGGATTTGACACCTCAATTTCATGTTCTCACGAAAAGCTCACGAGACCGGCCACTGAAGTGGTTCAGTCCAACAGGTGGAGGCAACTCGATCTCAGACGGCCACAGCTCCCTGATGTCATGTTGTTTCAGAAGTCGCTCAGCTTGAGGATAGCAAGGCTGACAATGACACAGACGTCCAGTTTACATAAATTGGCTGACAGGTCTGACTCTGACAAGGCTGACCGCTGCCGCGTCAGTTGTTTGACCGATGCTTGCTGTTTCTTCCGAAACTGCGAAGGATTGAGAACAGCAACGGCGTTTTTGCAAAGTTTCAAGGTGACCAATGGCTCGACTTTGCCTCGCCAACCAAAGGCTGATAATTGCTTGTCAAATCCTTCGCCTGACCGGCCAAAGGCTGACCACAACAAGTCCAGTTTCGGAAGAGCTTCGGCCTCACAGTTGGGAAGGCCCCGTATGGGCTCCAAACGTCGCCGCCTGACTGTGCAAAAGGCATTGTTCGCACTTTGTTCCTAGCTTTGTTTTCTTCTTGTTGGCTTGGCTTTTGGTTTGAATTTGTTTTGCTTTCTTGGCCAGGTCCTGCCGCTGCTCACTGAACTTTTGCTTTAGAGAAAAGGTGTCTGTCTCTGGGTTATTTTTGGCGTGCTTTAAAAAAGACAAACTTGAACAACCTAATTCTCTGTCACAACTACGGACAGCACAAAAGCCTGTGGCTATTATCCTTCGCCACTCAAAACCTTTCAATCACACCGTCTATGAGTCCACAAAAATGCTCACAAGGAAAGAGCTCTTTCACGCGCAAGTAAATCCCAGCACATGTGCTCAAGTAAAAGACAATGAAGTACGCAAGTCAGCATGAAGAAATGCTCATGTATGAGGCAAGACAAAATACTCATGTAAATGCGCCTGAAATTGGAAACGTAAGAGGCAAAACATGTCAAAGTTAATCTACCAGAAGGCCATAGAAAAAATAAGTACCTAGGACCTAAGTAAAATTAATTAGGTTGGCAAGTAATTTTAATTAGGTATGTTAGTACAATTAAATAGATTGATTTGAAAACAATACTTATAAAAGACAAAATGGTGTTTTTTTGCACCTAGTTTCTGCAAAATACGTATTATCGATGGCGAGTAAAATTACTAATCTTAGACTCAGGGGGTTTTTGTTGGATTTGCAGCAAGGCTAACCCAGTTGAGCAATCGACGTCTTTGAGCGCCGGACATGAATGATCTTCCGCATCTGATGTGCACGATCTCCAGGGGGTCACGTTTCGTAAGCATCGGCCGGGCCGCCCCGCCGCCGTAAGAGTGAATTAGAAAGATGAAGTTGTGGTTAGGTGCATTTTGTATAGGTGTCTTCACCCGTCTATCTCAGTGTTAAAGCAGTTGCGCCGCCTGCATCTCTGCGTGAAAAGGAATATGATGGCCGTGACGAGGGATGTGATGATGACGATCATGATGTAGGTGTGTTGTGGCAGCTGTGCCACCTGCATCTCCACACCTTTTGGCCATGGTGCGTGGATGTGCGTGGCAACAGTTGCGTCGCTTGCAGCCATTGCTACTGTGTTTTCTCAACTGAAATGGCGATTTTGGTGGATGGGAGTGTGCTCAGAACGTGTCGAAATCATTCCAAACATGTGGTGTGGTGCAAATTTTGTTGAAAAGCTCACATGATATGATAATATCGCTTTTCGTGGCAGGCGCGTGCTTTGTGCGGGTTTGGAAGTGTTGAAGTGCGATTTTCGTGGCAGGCGAGGGAATCGCAAAAGACTTGGTTCACGCAAACTCTGGAAGGTTTCTCGTTTCACTTGGGGGAAGGAAAGGAAAGGGAAGGGAGGAAGGGAGGCCGGGAGGGACAGAGAAAGCGACAGGGAGAGGGAAGGGAAAGGGGAAGGGAAAACGCAACCCTTGTACACGCATGTTGGATGACTTGGAACCGGCGCACGCTCCCAATTCTCCACGGATTGCATGGCTGCCAACCCACCCTCCAATAAATTTGGCAGGAAGGACCCATTCCAACGTAGCATGCCCTGTGTGAGCCAATGGATTGCAAAATTTAGAGGAATCAGGTGCCGTTCCAAAACAGCATACCTTTTGTGATGCAGCCGGTTCCCATGTAGCAAACCTTAGTGCAGCATACCTTCTGTGAGCCATTTTGGGTTTACTTTTTGATGTCCATAGCTTTATTTTTGTGAGCCACCCGCATGTTAAAATTCTGGGGCCACAACCACGAAGGTGATTACGTACCCCACCTTCAAGGGCCAAAGGCGCCAATACCTTTCGAGCAGGAAGGACCCACTTCAATGTAGCAAACCTTTTGTGAGCCACCGGATGGTAAAATGGAGAGGAAGAAGGGGACATTCCACTGCAGCAAACTTATATTGCCCGCGAGGCTGAAATTTAGAGCAGGCAGTAGCATACTGTTTGTGAGCCTTTGGGGATAGAAATTAAGAAAGCGAGGTGCCAGTCCAATCTAGCGGGTAACTTTTCATCCATTGGTAATACTTTTGTTTATTTATTGAATCTGTTTTGATCCCCTTGCCCATCACTCAAACTTCAACCAATATGTTGGATTTACCTTTTTCCCTTGGATGGTTTGGGCCGCGGCCTTTACAAATCATGGCACGCTAGGGAACATCCACTTCGAACGAAAACGCCTTCCCATTTTCTATATTGAGGCTCGTTCCAGATCCACTTCGAGAGGCCGAGGCCAAGGATTTGCTTGTGGGTTTTGGCTTGGTATCCTTTCTCATTGGTTCGAAAAAGACCACCTCATTTGTTTCAATGGTTCTACATGACATTGTGACAGTTTGTGAGAAGCATCCAAAAACTATTGAACACCAGCAGGACTGCTTTGTGGTTGCGTCCTGGTGAGGCAACGCCTGCCAAGCCTAAAAATTTAGCTGCCAAGGAGGAGACGTCTACCATGCCAAACAGTTTTGATTAAATGTCCATTGAACCAAAAACCATTCGACGATGTTGGATACGCTGTTTCAGAAATCGAGGGTTTGTAGGTCGCAGCAGTACTGTAGTTGGAACTGAATCATGGACAGTTTGATGTGCAAGTGTGTTGGTAATCTTGGAGTTCCAATCATGAAGCAAAACAAAAAATATAGGATGCCGATGCATGGTGTTTTTCCTTTCAGACTTAGCCCGATGAGTTTGCACTTACCAACCCAGAGTCAAGTGTTGTGTTCATCGAGTGAGGGGTCAGTGTACTCGGTAGATCTTGCAGTCCTCCCACGTGACCTCATCCCTGCGTTGCACAGTGCGCTGCAGGACATGCGGCCTTCCGATCCAATCGCTCAGGCGTACGGAGTACAGTTTCACAATTTGTTCATCATCAACTGAGGGGCATACTTCTATTGCGGGCATCCTTTCTGTGAGGCTGGCAGCCCAGATGGGAGCTTTACCTTTGGTGTAGGCGCAGTGTGTGGGCTTGGCAGGATTGAAGCGTGTGAGTTCCTGATTGAAAAAGTTGCAAGCTCCACATGAGTCGTCGCTCGGATGGGATGGTTTACCTTCAGACTGAATCTCTCAGAGACACGATCCACTGTGTTTTTGGAGTGATGGGCATGTGTTTGTTCCCGCTTTTCGAAGACAAATCGGCTGAAACTTGAAGAATGTTTGATTGGCCAGGCAGCAGCCCTCCAGAGGCTTGACATGGCTTGACGCCGTTGGAGTCTCGAAGTCTTGAGTGTTGAGCTCTGGTGGCTAGACGCACCGGTATTAGTCATCCGCGCAATGTGGGGGTCTCAATCCTGCTTGCTAAGTCTTTTGTGCTGACGAAGCATTGGATTGGCGCTTGGAGAGTTCGCCGTGAAAGATCGTAGCACCCACAATACACAACACCTTGTCTCCACATAGCTTCCTGGCGACACATTAATTTGTTGAGATATTGTCCAGAATGAGTTTTTGAGGAACAGGGCTAATTGAAGACATTACTGACTCTTAAGCATGACTAGCAGGGAGGGAACGTGCAATGGCACTTTTACAGTTCCTTATCTGTCAGGGTTGAATGACCCACCATTTTGCCCACAAGGCCAATGCCCCAAACTCCAGAAGCTCTATTGCCACGAAAAAGACATGAACAAACACTACATACATTGAAGGGATCACAGGGATCTTTTTGCGTGTTTCAGGCGCGGCGCTCACGTCATATTATATTCATGCGGCAGGTGCCCAACTCCCAACCGCCAGCTGAGAAGGTGGTTCAGGACGCCACTGGCTCTTGGGTCTTTCGGACGACAGCGATCACGGTTGCCACTTGAAGCTTGCCAAGGCACTTGCCAACCACTTTGCCACCTACAAGTTGTGACACTCACGGTGTATAGGTTTGCAATGGTTTGCAACTGAAAGCGGGAAATCACACCTTGTCAAGGTGATTGTAGGCACCATTCACACTTTGAACATGCTTTCAACGCGAACTTGTGCCATAAGCCGTGCATACTTTCTGCACAACCGTTCTATATTTATATAAGTATATAGTTTATACTATGACTGCACCAAGAGTGGTTTCTGGACCAACACTTGAGCAGAGCCGACCGTACTGGCCTTAGATGGACTTGTTAGGACGAGGCCAGTGCCTTGCCTCTCCGACCCGTCCAACCTCCGCCTGCGGCAACCTCGACGGCGACCTCGATGGCTTCAGAGGGGCAACCTTCCAACGAGAAGCCAGTGAGCCAGGTGGGATGAAGGAGGAGCAGTGGCTCCTAATGCGCAGTCCTCTCAACTATCAGAGTTTCTTGTGGCAGGTGGTTCCCAAGATTGGTCAAACAAACATTCTCGTAGACAAGGGTTTGACCGTAAATAATGTCAAGACTTGGGTTTAGAATACATTGGATGTTGGCGGTTTACTCTGATGTGGCGGGAGCAGCACCCATGCAAAGTGGAAACTGGCAGAGATGGACGGTATCCGCACGGAGGAGATTAAGTATACCGTGTTGTTCAGGTCTTGATGGTCATGCAGGAATACGGTCTTCAAACGCTGGATTTTGCTCCTTTGCCGAGATTTGCATGGGTTACGAAACTCAAGCCATTCCAAGTTGAAGGAGGACTGTTTCCAGTCGTTTCTTCACACGACGTACGAAGTAGATGTTCCCGTGCTACGTCACTTTATCCTGTTTGGAACCTTGTTACTCAATGTAGATCACATGCGAGCCAGGAACTGCCACCTGTAGGCACGCAGAGTAGTGTGGATCTTAATTTGTGTGCGTTGGGCAAGTCAGAAGCTTGTTGGACATGAGCATGTTGTTGTTTTTTTAATGGGCAGTGCGAAAGTAAAACGGTGTTTGACGCAAGGCCACCTTTCCAATCTTTCCATGCAAAGCATCAGCAGTGTCGTTGAATGCCGTTGAGCTGAGCGCCATGAACTGACTGAGCCATTGGAATAAGTTGCATCGCTAAGGAAATTGTGTTTGTAAAACTCCATGTTTTTGGCCAACATCCAACAAGGCATATTCCCAGTCATCAGAGCATCGGACAGAGTGACATTGCCCGAGGTGCTCAAAAGGACCTGAAAATGATGAGTGATTTGGGTTGGATTCTGAGCTATGCTGAATGATTTTCGCGATCGGGTGCCTCTTTGTTTTGACATGGCATGAGCCCTGCATCCACCATGAGCCTTTCATTTTTGACCGCGGCAGGGCTGGAAGAAGGCTCTGAGGATCCCTCTCCACAGGCCGTTCTTTTTGGGTCACAAGTTGTCACAACAGCCTTGGTTGCTAATGGACATGCTGCCTATCAAATATTATCAAATGACTGAACCAATGTTTGATTTTGCGTTAGTTTTTAACGCATGTGTCATGTGTGTTGTTTTTCAAGATATGTCTATGACTGTTTTTTTAACGCTTGGCAAGGTCCTGTGGTATTCGTGCTTGGTACCGGCGGTGTATTACATGTATTTTCTTGTTTGCAGGATGCGAAGGACAAGGCGCGGCTGGTGCTTCGATATCAAAGTGCATTTGCGTTTTGTGGTTGCTGTCAAAGAGAAAGACCTGCAACTCCAACTGTTTGGTCCCGTGCAGTTTGGGTCTTCAGAGTCCTTTCATACCCAATGAAGCCGAAGAAAACCAAGGAGGAGAGTCCAAGCAGTCCTTCACTGGGACCTGTGGCCTTGTCAATTGGAAAGCAGGCCTGTCACGTGGTGGGAATGGGAGGTTTCGGCTTTGGGTCTGAACAAGTATCACGCTAGTCTGAGTCTGAACAAGGCAGCATGAGGCAGCATCAGTGGCAGCATCTTAGGAGGCACAGAGAAATGGCCTCCAACCAAAGAGCAATGGCCTCCAACCCAATAGCGATGACCTCCAACTTAATAGCGATGACCTCCAACTTAATAGCGATGGCACCCAACCTAGTAGCGATGGACTCCAACCTAGAAGGAACTATTGCTGGTCAACATCGTTTCACTTTGAACTATCGGTTTCTCAATACGTCAGGTGCCGAAGCGGAGCAATCCATTGGCACGGAGCCGAGGCACTGAGTTTGCTCAAATGTTGGTTTAACATGTGGAAAACGGAAGCTACTAGTAACAAGTGCCACGCTACTAGTAACAAGTGCCTTACTAGTAGTAACAAGAAGCTACTAGTAACAAGTGCATCGCTACTAGTAACAAGTGCATCGCTTCTAGTAACAAGTGCATTACTACTAGTAAGAAGCTACTAGTAGCGATGCACTTGTTACTAGTAGCTGCTTGTTACTAGTAATTAGTATGCACTTGTTACTAGTCGACGCATGACGCATGTTTGCAAGTAGAGTATGGATCGTTACTTGCACTGTTCCATCGTCATGCGGTTTGTTTTTCTCTCATGTCCATCATGATTCCTTTGATATTGACACCATTTTGACGCCGCAGGTAGCGGCCTCTTTCAGGCAGAGCAAGCTAGTTCGTGTGCACGTTGGGGAGGAAACTGTAGGGGAAGAGTTCGCTAACCACCTCAGACGATCATCTGGTCAATTCACCAGTCTTGTGCAGGGTCACCCTAGCATTTTACGCAGCGGCATGAGAGATGGTGAAGTGAGGCAGACCACTTCTTGAAGGGTTGAGGAATGACTGTGCTTGGCAGCGTTGAAGTCTGCCTCCTCCCCAAAGACTCCACAAGTATTGTTTCAAGCCTAGCAAGTTGGTAGAATATGGTTTTTCACTTGCAGGAGGAGGATATTGGCTTTTTGATTGGCACATTCTTCTGGAAACATCATGAGCGGCATCATGCGGCACAACCTCCAACGACCAGAAGTGAGTGCTTTCTTTGGTTTGTTTCCTCAGAAAAGGGAAGACTCTCCTGGGTTTGGGTTCGTAGTGCAGATGAGCACAGGCTGGTGGTGACTTCGACGGGCCTGGCCTATCTCGAGGTGAGAGTCACTAGAAGTGTTTGGATTCTTTCAATGAACCAGTTCTGCGGAGAAGCCGTGCTGCGACTTAGAAAACCCCAAGATGTTCGACAGGTGAAGACAGAAAAACAGACAACGATTCTTAAAAAATAGATATCATCTATGATACCATAGACTCCCTCAGAATGGAAACTCGAACACCAGACCGTGAAGCTTCGCTCGAACGCTGTCAGGTTTGGGTGGCCTCAGCCAGGTGCGCTTGGGCATGTGCACGCTGCGGTTGCACAAAGATATTTGTGCCCGAAAGTGAGTGCAGCAGTGGTGCCTCCCTTCTACTTGAATGTAGCGGTTGTTTTTCGATTAAACCGATGTTTGACTTGCTAGTGCACGGTCTATCAATTCAGGACAAATATTTAAGAAATATATTTATTCTCTCAATAGGATGACTTGCAATGCAACCATGGGCCACTGGTCATATTCAACAGTAGTTGTGCGACCAAATTCAAGAGCGGATTTGCTTGATGCTTCACGGATTCTTTGCACTGCATCCAATGAGCTCAACATGGTGCAGTGAACGTCCGATGCTGTCCGGGATGGAGGTCTCTTCTTTGTCCAAGACGAAAGCCAAGCCAAAGTCCGATACCCCAAGACGAGCTGCGTCTGAGTTCTTGGAAAAAATGGGATGGGTCCAATCGATTGCGACAGGTGATGGCAAAAAATGAGTACAGAGCTTGGACTCCCTGGACATTGTGGGGCATGGACTGGCATGGGGCATGGGTTTAGTGGTTTCTTTTCATCTTCCATTCTTTTGTCGGTGTTTGGAAGCGCTTCCGAGGTCTTCATCGCTCTTCGGGGGGCCGATCGATTGGAATCAGAAGGAAGACTTTCGCTGAGCAAAAGCGGGCGGCTTGCGCGAAGGAGGAAACTAGAGGGAAACCGGAGTTTTGGTATTTGAAGCTTTGGACGTTCCAGGATGGGATATATAACTGGTGGGTTCAACCCTCAACACTTCGTCGCGAACAAGTCGTCCCTTAGACTCAGAACTTCATGCGGGTATTCAGTTGGTTGTGTTGGTTGGCTTTCTAGGTATAGTTCAATGTTCTATTCTTGTCCTCATGTTCAACCGCTCCACTTGTGTTTCCTGCAAATTCACGGACTCGCATCAGTCAACCTCTTGCAGATATCTCAGAGTGGCTCAGCCAGGTCCCAACTCCCAAGGCATGGTTTCGACGTGGTCACGTGTGACCGTGCGACGTGGTCCGTCCCGTTCCTTGGCTTTTCGCGGCTCAAGTCGGATAGCTGGCTTTCTGTAGCTCTGATCAATGTCGCCGATATGACCGCAAGAGGAAGGTGCTTGGGTCGGGCTGGTTCAATTGCTAGTTGATGGAATAGAGAGTTGTTTAAAAGGTGCTCTGAGCTCTCTCTATATCTACTAGTACCATTTGTGATGCAACCATTGACATTACCAGAGGCAATGAAGACCATGATGTTCTTCAATACGGTGTGTTCTGCAGTGACAATAATTATATACAATACATTGTTTTGGCTGGGTGGTGACGGTAGGTGCTTCAGACTTTTGCCGCAACACTCCAGCCGGTGATCAGATAGGAGAGAAGGCCCTTGAAGGGGACTCAGTGAATCAGTGATACCAGCATGTCACTTGGTCCATTTTGGACATCAGGGAAAACCCATCAGGCAAACATTTGGTGCAAAAAGAATCACTTTTGCAAGGTTTCTTTCAAACTTCCATTTACCTCAGTTCCCTTCGTGACTGGTTCCTCTTTCGGTTCGGCGCTTGGGCCGCCCCTCCAGACGCAGGTCCCGATCACCATACCGGCAACAGCTGGAACTGAGCCTGAAAGAGATCCGGGACTTGGTGCTCGCGAGAGAGCAGGTTCGACCAAAGTGGTCATCGGAGATGGACTGTGAGAGGATTGCTCTTGGGGTGTTTGCTTGGACGGAGTTGAAAGCTTGAGACAAGTCCGATACCAGCAAAGCTGGACGTCAGAACTATCGGTGCAAAGTTTGTTTTTCTTTTTCGAGACATAAATGGAAGATGGATCTTCCAAGCTCTCTTTGAAGGTCCATCTTGTTTCCACTTTGCCGATGCCCCTGAGGCGAGGCTTCAGAAAGACTGGAAACTAGCAGACAACATCCGGTCCCAGCTGCACGACGCGGGAGCGCCCCGGATGGTACAATTGGTGTGGGTGTGACGTGTTTGCCAGCTGGAGAGACGTGTGAACTTGAATGGATTCAAGCCGTCAGACGACATGCCGACACGGCTGGTTGGAGATGTCTCGGAAGTCGACCTGTTGAAACCTGTTGGTACCCGTTGCATATGATGTGGAATTATTCTCCAAGTAAAAGCAACCTGTAGATTCTGTAGATATGTGGATGCCAAAAGCGGGTACAAGTCCTAAGCCTTTGGTGCGGACAATCGGACCTCATATCATTCGTTTCAAAGGTTTGAGTTCTTTTCTAGTCAAATTGTCCAGTTGTTTTCACATGTTTTCACAGAATCAGACTGCAGCGTGATGCTTGAACGATTTGCCTGAGATGAGAGGCCGGTGCTTTGGAAATTGGGGTGAGTGGGGAAGTCTGCTGACACACTGACAGATGTTATCCGAAGAATCAAGGAGGAGATGATGATGTGTTTGTCTGCACAAAACCGTTGTTTCTTTTTGTGCCAAGAATTCTGCATCGTTTACTCCTCTGCAACCTGCTTTACTAGACTTTCTATATCCTATAGCTGCCAAGATGCGCGGAGAATGCCAGAAGCAAAACACAACTTTGCCGGACTTTTGCTGCTGCCCTTGCTATGCCGAGGTGCAACTGTTTGACAAGACTCACCAGTGGCTTGCGCTGCATTTGCTGCGCGTTTGCTGACTTGCGCTTGACCAGTTTGACCGTGTGCTCTGCATTTTGCACTGCCGGGTCAGCATGGTGCGGGCGCAGCCTCACTCTAGCTGTCACCTTTTCGTGGTTTGTGTTTGGCTCTTCTTGCCATGACATCCAAGCTTCATGGATGTTGCACAGGGAGCACTTGAAGCAAAGGTGAATAATTACTATTTTTAGTGAACGCTTGATTCAGAGTGGAACCAACTGCAACTAGACTAACTAGACAAGTCTAGACACAAGAACAGCAACAGACTGTACCTATCATTTGGGCCGCACCCATTCCATCACTCCAAAAGCATTCATTTCCACTCCTGTGCCTCTCTGACTGTGGGTGTGAAGACCCACGGGCTTCACCCGCATGCTCATCAAAAGCCCCAGCGGACCGCGAACCGCCACAGGTGGACCTCCACCGACGGGCGAAGTGGACGCATCCCCAGCTTTGATGAGGTTGAGGCGCAGCGGGGTGTTTTTTTTAATCGGTGTTTGGTGAAGGCATGTTTTTTCCTCAATGTCCAGCTTTCTTTGCGCTTTTGAAGTCGCTGACGGTCCTTGTTCCCGCACCACTTGATAGAATCCTCCCCCTTTGTCGCATGACATGCCCTCTTTCCTTTCTTTTGACCATCCCTCTTCCACAACCCGTCTTTAGAGCAAGTGACTGCTAGGGCCAAGCGGGTACGCATGTCTTCTCAGGCGGGTCAGGTGCCCGAGGAAGAGGAGATCCCTACCACTCAGATCAAGGCAGGGCCCCGATTGGCTTCGATTTCAGGTCCTGTTGGCTTGGGTATACCGTATACGGTATGCCTGGGTTTACCATGGTATAGTATAGATAGTATAGTGTAGTGATCGCCAAGGGTGGTCAACTGAATCTGGGCATGATCGGTGGAGTAGTGTCTTAAGCCAAATGACTAACTTCTTCCACCTCAGCGAGTGGGCGCGTGGATGTTTAGTTGTCCTGTTTCCGGACAACCAGCATCGGCCTGCGTCGATTCCACCAGAGCTCCACTTTGGACCATCCTGATAGCAAGTCTGTGGAAGCTAGAGCGTAAATTTGCTTCTCAAAGTACCGAAGACAGAAGCAGATCATAGCTACCACAGTCATAGCTACCACTTGGAGTTCCACCACGCCAGCTGTGACCTGAACCGAGGAGTATATCGAGCCATCAGAGGGTGATTTGGACAAGGCCATGATGTCCGCGGGCAGACAACGAGAGGGATGGTCAGAGTCACAAGGCATCGAATGAGAGTTGCTGAAGCGGAGGATAGAAGGGATCCAAGATCTCATTATGCCAAAGACTCACTCGACACCTTCCTTGGCACGTTCAAGCCTTTCCGACTACCCCAACCTCTCGACTAGAGCAAACCACGTGCGTGTTTCTCTCTTAAGCAAAACACTTTCAACGCTTGTTTGTTGGCAAGGAAATTCGACGCCAATGTTGGTGACCTGAAATCACGTGATGCTCCAACATGGGCTATATAATAATAACTAATAACGCTTGTCCCTAAGATTCAGAGAACCTATACAGTTGTCTATGCGATTCGATATGATAATTTGTTTGGGCGCAATGGAAGATGCTCAATCCTGGCCGCCGGCCGCTAGGGCAGCCCCGTCTGAGTTTGTGCGTGGGCGTATCTACACGAATAATTGTCCTAAACTTATATCTCCTTGTTTGCACATCATGTTCAAACCCCAGTTGATTCAAGTTCTGGTGTCCCTCAAACTGGGAATAGAGAGTTTCTGAATCTATTCGCTTGAACACTGATGTGAGCTTTGCCTGAAAGAATGTTCACGTGGAACATGATTGATCTTGCAGGAGCAGATTCAGAAGTTAATCTTTCAACGGGAACATGCTCGAGGGAGCAAGGACTGTGGTCTTTGTGTGCCGACATCCTGTGAAAACTCTTGACTCTTTGCAGTTCTGGTGATTCAAGTTCTGGTGTGGTGCCATCGCTAGTAATTAGGTTGGAGGCCATGGCTGTTTGACTTGCCTTTCTTTCTTTCTTATTCTGGTGTGGTGCCACTGGTGGGTCGAGGCTGTGGGAGTTTCGAGGCTGTCGATACCTCGCTTGCGGAGCGCACTAACTGACTGAAGTATCTTCGAGACAGAATGTTTGGACATCGCATTGGTTTGGTTTGTTTCGAGATTTTGATGATCTTTCATGAAGTCCTCTTCAAGTCAGTTCCAGAAAGGAGTTGCCCTGCGGCCGATGCCCAGAGCCTAATTACGATCATGTTCTTTGCCATAGCTTCTTGTTACTAGTAGCAAGGTGCCCTACTAGTAACAAGCTACTAGTAGTAAGGCAACTTGTTGCTAGTGGCGTCCTGCCCCCGCCGATGAGAACCGCAGGACTTTGCTCAAGCCGATGAGATCCGCAGGCAGCTCCAGGACTTGGGTGTGGAGCTTCAGGACAAGGAGAAGCTCTGGAAATGCATGGAGACTCAGTCAAGGAATCCCTGCGGATCCGTGCGGATCAGGTGGAATCGTGGAAACTTGATTTCCTGCGTGCACTAGGTAACAAGAAGCTACTAGGAACAAGTGCATCGCTAGTAGTAACAAGTGCCTTACTAGTAGTAACAAGAAGCTACTATTTTGTTTCCTTTCGCGAAAAATTTAACGAAGGTCATTGCTTTCATATGTTTTCCTTTCTACCGGACTGACAAAGAATAGAAATACAAGGCAATCCTCCGGCAGAGCCAGCGGGCGGAAGTGTCCCCATATGCCACAGACTAACGAACTGAAGCCTCAACATTTCCGTGCCCAGCCCTGGCACTGCGTAAAGGATTCTCCGATTCCTGTCCCCACTGTCACAGACTAGCAATCTGAGTAGGCACAGCCCTGACAGTGAGGCAACGACCTGCAGCTGCTCTGACGGGCTGTGCAGATGTTTGGAAATGTTCTGGCTTCCCAGGGAAGCACCACTGAAATTCGCGAAAGATCCGCGAAAGTTTCGCGAATGTGCCGCTAAAGTCCAGGTTCCCAGCTTGAGGCCCCCCAACATTCCC